TTTACTTGTAACCATGTGTTATAAAATAACAATAGAGTTACTGGAGAAGAGATTGCACACTATACTTCGGCTGGTCTATTACCTCAGAGTGGTTGTCTCAATGCAAATGTTATAGGTTGTCAGAAACAAAAACCAAAGTTCAATTAGAAACAATCCTAATAAAATCTGTATGGTAACATATGATATTTTTAAGTCTTGGGAGGGAAGGAGTCCTGCTTCTGATCCCATTGTGGTGCTGCCAAGCCCAGCAACTGCCTATAATGTGCTTATTGTGTTGATTTGATCCATGAAAAGGAGGAAACCGAACCATTTGTCTATTGTGTGATTCTTTGCATTGATGTGAGCTTTTCATTTTGTTTTGAATGTTGGCTTCATTTACTATTATGTGATTCAGCAGTTGAATACTAGAGTAAGTTGTGATGCAATTGATATATATATTTTGCCTCAATTCATCAACCGAACTTTGAACTAATCTGAACCGTGTGTGATATTGTGCCTCTTCGAGGAAGAGATAGCATGAATACCTTATTCAATTAGCATATCAGTTGCAGTATTAGTTAGAAAATTCTCAATAATGGTTCGATTCTTTAGTCTCCTCCTTTTCTGCATACCAGTATTACCTTTCTAATTCATGTGTGATCTTGTGCCTAAATCTGAACCATGTGTAATCTTGTGCCTCTTCGAGGATGAGATATAATGATTATCTGATTCAACTAGCAGATCAAATGTGACATTAGTTAGAAATTTCCCAATAATCCTTAGATGCATAAATCTCCTTCTTTTCTGCATGCCAGTATTACCTTTCTGATTGCAATGACTCCATTAGTTGTTTTTTTTTTGGAGACAAATGTTCTGTTTTTCTCAGTTTGTCTTCAAACAAGTTGGTCTCTTTGGTATTATGGTGTTGCTAACAACATTACCAGTTGATCTTTTATGGTTTACGCTGGATTGAAATTCTTCAAGTTGAGATCCCTCTTTTCTCATCTTGCCCTAGTTGCAGCTCAGTAGAACGGTTGCTTGAGCATCCTTTGGATACGGCTAGCTTCAAAGACTTGTTTATGATATTGTATACCCCTGCAGTCTATAGGTGACAACATTTAGAAGGGTATTACGTCTGGTGCCCTTCTGGCTTATGCACCACCTTGAACGTCACTCTCCTGGCCCCTGGTGACAATGCCTGTTTTGGCAATTCTCTGCTCGAAGTCGTATTGGGGTCTGGAGGAAGTTTTCTGTGGCCATCGCATTATATATGTTTTAGTGGTGTCTAGATGTGGAGTTGGACTTGATCTTTTTGCTGGAAACTTTCTCGGGCCCAGCATTGAGCTCTTGAGGAGTTTCTTCACTTTGCAGTTAGGCCTAGTTTTAGATGGACCTCTCATTTCCCAAGTTCTAGTAAGACAGTTTGCTACCATTCTACGAATCAGAATTTTGATGAACTTGCATTTTAAATTTACTTGGTATATTCCGATGAAGTGTTGAAGTATAGAAAGGTGAGTACTTGTAAACGAGTCCGAAGAGTACCTTACGAGGGCTTGCTAAACTATTCTGCAGATTTAGAGTCGTTGGTTATTGAGCTTTATTCCTGTGTGCTGCTAAACTATGATTACTTTGTACATGAGTTCAAAGAGTATCTTAGGAGGGTTCGCTTAACTGTGACTATTTTGCTGTGCAGGTTTAGAGTCGCTGGTTATTTCATTCCCGATCTCGACTCAAGCGAGTGATAGGTCTAAATGTGCTTACGAGGATTTGTATTCACGAGCTATAATGTTGTGAAAGAGTTTCTCTGGATGCTCATTCTTGTTTAGACACCCTGCCTTTGGTATCATATTGCAATTCTCAATGCAGTCAAAATCGCGCTTTAAAACTTAAAAACTTACGATTTTACGCTTTTGGGTCACCAAAACGCTTTCGTTTCCATATAAAAACTTAAGTGTTTAAAATCGGACTAAATTGCGCTTTAAAACTTAAAAACTTACGGTTTTACGGTTCTAGTTCACCAAAACGCTTTACGATTTTACGCTTTTAGTTCGCTACATGAGTATTCTTTTCATGAAATTAATTATAAAAAGTATATTTTTAAAGTAAATCACTAACAATATGATACATTTGAGATTAAAAGATACATACTAGGTACTTGGATGCATTCTACTTCAATAGAGTAATCTAATTCACCAACTAGGGTTTTCCCAAATTCATTAGCATAGAGGGAAAAATGGCTTATCGTTAAAATTTATGTTTACGAACTTATTATTAAGATGCTATAAGTTGCTCTACTTTAAACATGAATCACATGTATTTATTAACTTATCTAAATTCTGTGCATTCATATTTTGCATAGCATATGTCCTACTTAATAGATTTTTAGTTATTTTTCAGTATGCGTCAAAAACTTACGCTTTTACGCTTTGATTCTACGTTTTACGATTTTACCCCTTTTCCGCTTCTAGGTAGAATCGCGCTTTTGACTGCATTGGCAATTCTTTTGGTGATAATGGTTAGAAAGGTTTGCCCTTCTGTCTGCAAGTACTGGTTTGTTGGTTGTTCCATCATGCTTAATTTTAGTTGTCAGATCATAGATGGATAGAAGTGTGTCTTGAAAAGAAAGAGGTGACTAGACTACATGTTCATGAAATAGAGGGGACTGGTTTAATTTGGTTATCACATCCGACTGCATGTGTTGGTCTGTACTATGATGCTAATCCTCAAGCTTTCTGGGTTTTGCTATGAAAAATCAAAGTAGTTGAGAAAGAAGGCATGCTTTTGTGAGATCCATAACAGACTGTTGTCTTGTAGCCTTCATAAACCTCTGTAGTTACCTCTTGTCGATGGAGTATGCAACAGCAGCTATAATAGTTACAGAATTTTGATCTTCAAGGTCCTAATAATGCACAGAGGAGTCTGCATTCATTCAACGACCAGTTACAACATCTGTAGATAGTCATGTTAATGAAAATGATTTGAGCAGATTCACATCCAGGGAGGCTTGAATAAGTGTGAAGCCTCTAGTGATTGAAAATGGGAATGGTGTAGTTTTGAATGGGTCAGCTGTGGATTTGGATTATTTCAAGGAGTTAAATGAGTAAGAGTAGACCCTGATTTCAGTGAATCAGCCATTGGACGTGTTGCCCCTGTCCGATTCAGGTAAACCCAAGCAAGAATAATTTTCTTTCCATTTAGGTTGTTGTTAACTTGTGTAGCTGTTGAAGTTTTTGAGTACTAGTATCTTTGATTTCTGCTCTTCATTCAACGTTATGGTGGATAATCATGTTGAGAGCTTATGGGAAGATCACTGGCGGCTATGCATTGCAAGAGAGGGTTGATGTCCAAACAGGCATCAGACTGATACTTAATAATTGTAAAGCGTTACCCTGTTTTTGGCAGGCCATGGTCATGTCACAACGGTGGATCTTGGCTAACCCTCTTATGGCAGTTCACATTGGCGTGCATCAAAGATGGGGAAACTAGAACTGGCGCAGAAAGCCGTGAGTGTCGCGGAGCAGAGACTAGCAGCTGAGAATTGGCCGGGATACTACGATACTCGTGGCAGATTCATTAGCAAACAGTCACGTAACTACCAGACATGGACCATTGCTGGTTTCCTGACGTCGAAGTTGCTTCTAGAGAATCAGGAGAAAGCATCGACTGCTGTTCTGGGACAAGGACTACGAGCTGCTCCAGACGTGTATTTGTGCATTGGGTGGGAAAGCCGGTCGCAAGAAATGCTCAAGGTTTGCTTCCAGATCACGGGATGGTGCTTGATCAGAGTGTACCTCATTTGCAACCTGATGATGAGTGATACTGATGAAAAAGAAGTAATAAGCAGTCAATGCATACTCCATTATCTAGGGGTGGGCATTGGGTGGGTCGGGTGGATTTTGACCATAAAATGCACCCACCCGCGATTAAACGGATTGATAATTTTTAACCCACCACCCACCCACATTTAGTCTCGGGTTGGGTCGGGCGGATGGTGGATGAATTGGGTGGGTTTGTGGGTTCACCCACATCACAATGTATATAATATAAAGGAGTCAACTTGACATGATAATATACGGAGAGAGTTATATGGGGAAACAAGAAGATGAAATAGGGCGAAAAAATGTCGAATTAGTTCTTAAAATGGATAGAAATTCTATTATGAAAGAGTTTTCTACAGATTGAGATGATTATCAGGTGCAAGGAACTAAGAAAAATAATTCCACAAGGGAAAGAGCAGTGATCTAGGCACAAGAATTAGAGGGAAAAATAAAGAGAAGAAGAGGGGATCGCTATTTGGAAGGTTGCCTTTGAGGTTCAAACTCGAGGAGCAGTCCTAGTTTATGTCTAAGGTCTCCACTCTCCCCTCTCTAGCGTCGACGACTTTGATCTTTTTGCTGTTGGGTTGAGCGGGTCACCCGCGCACCCACCCACAACCCACCCACCACCCGGCGGATGGCTACCAGCGCAACCCATCACCCACCCATAGACCCACCCACTTAACGAAATTCGGGTCAAATGCGGGTGGGTCGGCCCAAACCCGCGGATGATCCGCCCGCATGCCCAGCCCTACCATTATCACTGTACCATCTCTGCAGTAAAACGTTTTCATGACTACATTTTCCGGCTACCTTCCTGGGCTTCCACATTGTTTGTGAACCCTAAGCTTTGACTTCTAGTTATGTTTACTCGTTCATTTGTTCAAAAAAATTCCCCACGGTCTTTTCAGCTGTTAACTGCTTCATTATGTGTCCTACACTCACACCCCTCGAAAGCGGAAGTCAGTTGTCTCGTATTATCTTTTGTTCAAATATCATCCAAACGTATATATTTATTATATCGCGACTATACTCGATATTTATTATATCGCTAATTTCACAATTTCATTTACAAATCTAGTGTTAAATATGTTCGGATCCATGATGTGTATGGCTCATGGATGATTTCACAAACAAAGCAATCATTTGAATTTCACAAAGAGATTATAGACAACAAGGGCACCAAAAAGTGAGGAAAAAAACCTACCTCACTAACCTTACATTCAATTTACTCCGAAACCTTCGCAAAATTTCAAAGTAAAAACAGGAAAAAGGGAACCTACATTTCATCTCATCACCCAAGCAAAGGAAAGAAAACCTTGTAATCCTCCCAACTGTTTTTTTGTTTTCTGTGAGAACTGTTCCTTTTTTTTTTTTTTTCATGCAGTGGGGAAGACGGTAAAGAAAAACGACCATTCTCTCTCTCTCAGCAAAATTTCACGCTTCCTACATTTTCCCCCATTTTCACAAACCCTAACCCTACTTCTATGTTCCACTTCTGTATTCACTTCACTCTCATGACTGGCTACTGCTGCTGCGTTTTGAAGAGATCCAGGCGGGAATCTCCGAGGCGGAGGGAGTAGGAGGCCTTTTTGTACTCGGCCCAAGTGAAGGCCCGATACAAACTGGGCCTGGAAGGGGTGACCATCTCAGGGAGAGGAGAGATTGTGCAGTTAAGCGGCGGGGCAGCGAAATAGGCCATTGACAGTCTGGGCTTGGCCGCATTGACGTTGAGGGCCCTGTGCTTTACGCTCACGAATCTGCCATTTGTCATAGCCTGCATCCACCAAGGAATGAAAATGAAACAGAAAGCCAAAAACTAACTATTATTTGAGGGAATATTTGGGTTTTGGTAGCAATCATGAGGTGGGATGAAAAATCTCAGAGCATAAGAACAAGGACAGCTCAAGCAAAAGGATGAAAGGGATTACCAAAGTCACGTCAAATTGAATCAAATTGCCATAGGACCATTGACATATAATGATAATGTATATGATAAAATATTTTTTACTGAGTTAGTTAAATATACGATAACTATACATACGAATTGGTTCTTTGAGTCATTAATAGTAAAAGAACGCTTATTTCACAAGGTTTTCGGCCATTTTTTCCATTAAAAAATAACATAATCATCATGCTTTCGCACTACACAAGTCGAATCAACTGACCTAGTCATATTGGCAATATTGATAAGGCATGTGTGAGAATGATAACCATTACAACTACATAAACGATGACTCGCATATAACTTTTAACTAAATGATAACTAACTTTTTCAATCAGTCACCTATTCGAACATATCATTGTATTAGCAATACCACATTAGCCAACAAACACCAGTCAGTGGGTATGATGGATGTGCCTATAGTGAAAGACAATATCCTACTTCTGATCTAATTGGGGTTCGCAGTGGTGGAGAAATTCTAGAGATATTATATCATTGTGTTGTTCTTTCCCAACTCAAATGTTGATTTTGTTTTCCAAAAACAGGGGGAAATAAACAGCAAAAATGAGTTGGCATTAGCAACACAAGGTACAATAGATTGATGATTATATTCTTTCGAGAGAGAGAGAGAGAGAGAGAGAGAGAGATGGGGATCTGAGTATGGTCGTCCTGACCATAATAGGACCATAGAATAGAAGATATGGGAAGGAAGTAAGGAAGGAAAGGTGATGGACTAATGACTGAATGAGTAGTCATACTCAAACTCAATAGCCTTTCTTCAACAACGAGAAGAAGAAGAAGAAGAAAAGGGGAAAATAGGTATCCAGGAAGGGTAAAAGGGGACCAGAGGAAGGTGGGCTGGGGAAGAGGCCTTAATATAGCCAAAACAGAAGGAGGCCATGCAGCCACTTTTTGCAGTTACCTGCCCCTCTCTTCTCCTTCTTCTTCTTCTACTTTCTTTCTCACCAATAATATCTTTATTAGCTTTTATTTGATTTCAAGTACTACAGCAATAAGAAAAATCCTTCACAAGAAAAAAGAAAAGTACCATAGGAAATCTCAATAGGGTTCGAGTTTATCCTTCCACCAGCCACACATGGCAGACCTATCCACTTAGGATTTGTACTTTGAGATATGTATGAATTTCTTATCTAACTTATTACATTGTGAAATTTTGAATCTTTTTTTTTATCCAAACTTGTATCTAAATTGTCATGTTTTATCTTATATGAAAGTCAATCATGGACTTATGGTTCACGAAGAAGATGAATATCGATAATGAAAATCAACGAAGACGTATAATACGAGAAGAACCAAACCCTAATCTAAGCATAGTTTGTGTAAGGCCAAGTGCCTTGAACCCCAAATTTGGGGATTGGACCCCATTTTCCCTTCTTTTGCTCCAATGCAACAAACTCCATATTTGGGGTTCTTAATATTTCCAGTTTTTCCAATTATTGAAAAATGTACTTATCGAAACTTTAACATAATTTGTTCATGTTAATTTTTGTATAGTTCGTCATCATTTTTAAATACAAATTTTTCGATAGAATTTTGTTAAATTTCGAGACCGAATTTTTTTTAGCAAAAAATTATGGACCTAATTTGGGTTTACACACAACACTTGCTAATCATAAATTTTAAATAAAATGAATTCAATTTAAGTCATCTTACAAAAAAAGCCTAAATACACAAATATTAAACACAAATTAAATACAATCTAAAAAGCCTAAATACAAACATAAATTTAATTCCCCTTTCCCTAATTAATTCAATTTAATTCCCCTTCCCCTAATTAATTACATTCAATTCTCTTAATCAAATTCCTTAATTAATTCCCCTTCCCCTAATTAATTCTCCTTCCCTAATTAACTAAACAACAATTAAAAAAAAAAAAAAGGAGCTCGCGGCACAGCCGCTGAGGCTGGGCGGTGCGCCGCACGCGCAAGGGAGAGAGCTCTCTCCCTTGCGCGTGCGGCGCACCGCCCAGCCCCGGCGGTTGTGCCGCGCAGCAGACTCTCCTCCTCCATAAATGCCGAAATCGGCAAACCCTCCTCCATATATAGCGATCCAATTGCCGATCGCCTCCATAATTGCCGATTTTCGGCATTTATTTCTCTGCGTTGGAACTCCAAAATCGGCATTAATGGCGACAACCCCATAAATGCAGACTCCATTGGACTCAGCCTAAACTAGGGAGGGGGATTTTTTTTGTTGGATACTTTTCTTCTTAACTCATATTCCTATGCCCTGCCCTTGTCATTGATCTTGCTGTAAATGAAGGAGAAAGGAGCTAACTAGGCAGGGCCCCATCATAAATTGGACAAGAGAATAACCCCAAATTCAAACCTTAGATCATAACTAGCTGGCCATATAGCTGCTGCTGCTGCCACTATGCCCTTTTGCTGCTAGGATGTTGCCAGTTCAGATAGAGAGCCAGCAGCAGCAAGCATCTATCCATCTATTCTATCAACTTCCATCATTTTCAATCTCCCTCTCTAGATTAGTACCTATCATTATAAGTAAAACCTTGTTCGCTCATGCTGCAGAGCGATTTCGATGTCGTGCTCACAAGACTGATGTAAGAACGTGATTACAACACTCTTGCGTCCGTCCCTAATCTGATCTGACGGACACGCGAGAAGTTATAAGCACGTTCTCACAGACGTCTTGTGAGCGCCATAGCAAGTTCTGGATATAATAACCCTTAAACCAAACTATATCCCTAGTAGCTGAATCGTAAACCCTTTCCGCCTATGATTTAGAGACTGCATATATTCTCGAATCTTCTATTATTCTGATTGTAAGAACGAATTTTTTGGATTCTAATTATATAAAAAAAAATGAAAGGAGAGAAATTTAGCAAAAATCATCGTGGTCCCAATTCCTCCATGAGAACCACACAAAATCCAGCAAGGGAAAAAAAAATTCTCTATAGCAATTATTCCAACATATGATTGTGTTACGTATCACTAATTATGAGCTCATAAAAAGAAATGGAGGGAAACCCACAAACCCTCCTTTTCTGAGCTCAGCAAGCCAACCCCAACCAACGGGCCCCCAAATAATTGATAATAATTGATAAAAACGATATAAATTGACAACACATAATAATTAATAATAATAACAATAATAATTGCCAAAAAAAATTATTATAAATAAATTCGAGAAGGAATATATAATAACGAACCTGCAAAACGTCACCAACATTTACGAAGAAGGCGGTGGGGTCGGGCGCCACGGAGACCCACACGTCACCGTCGACGTGGACCTGCAACCCGGCGACGTCGTTTGACGTCAACACGGTCAGGATCTGCGGGTCGGTGTGCGCCCCGAACCCGACCTTCAGCTCCGCCGCCGGGTGGTCGACGGCGGAGGACGGCGACGGCAGGAGGAACGGAGGGTAGTGATTGAGGCGGAGGACGGAGTCGCTGTCGACGTCCCTGATTAGCTTGCTGAACGCCTCGGCGTCCGTGGCCCCCAGCCCTTCCGCCATCATATCCAGGATCTCACATGCCACTTCCTTTACTGCTTCTATGTACCCGCCCGCAGCAGAGCTGTCCCCACCAAAAAAAAAAAAAAAAACACCACCACATTTAATATCGAGGAAAGGGACTAAACATCGTTAATTCAATTCATTCCCCGTTGGTATAGTCAAATTAATCAATTCATTAATCCGAAGAGGAAACAAAAAGAAGTGAGAAAGGAATCATCCCTAAGAATCTTCACACACTAGATTAGGAAAAAAGTCTACCACCACCCCCCAAATCATAGAATTATCCATCTCGTTAAATATATCGCTATTAAGTACGCGCAAAACTAAGAGTTACGAGATGGGTATAAGAACATGGTAGCCTCTGTCTTAAAAACATACATAATAATACGAAGAACGTGTAAACAAGTGATTAAGATCCATCGCTGAATTTCTTTCGACAACTCCTCGAATGTCTATCAGAAGTCCCTGATGGGCATGACACCAACAACCCATGCAGGGGAAGGAGAGGACCATTTTTTTAAGTGTGTGTTTGCAAAAATGGTCCATGGGCTGGCCCTGGCAATGACATGTTCTAGATGAAAAGTCGATTTTTAAAAAAAAAAATACTTTTTTTTACAAAAGATACCCTACAAATGAAGGACGTCGACCCTTCAACTGATTCTGATCAGCAAAAATTGGCAGAAAATGGAAGCAACGGGTTCCATTTGTAGCACAGACAGTTACAGCGACTGAATCCTAGCTACCCTGCCCCTCCCCTTCTTCTTCTTCTCCTCCTCCCCCACACCACGTTTAGCACATTATTCCCCTCAATTATTCACACTTCACAACTCAGAAATCGTACTAGGAACGCGCGCGAGGTTTTCTCACGTCAATACTCAGGTTTAATTTACCAATGAAAAAACGTTTTTAACAATAACTAGAAGATAGTATCGTGTTGCATAATTTTTTTTTAACGAATTCGCACACACTCAGGCGACACGGAAAAAATTATGTGAGAAATGTAAAATTCTAATGAAATATCGAGAGAGAGAGAGAGAGAGAATGAATATTTATAATTGGCGTACCTAAATTTGGTGGGGTCGGTGGAGTTGATGGTCAACGACCTCTGGGCGATGGAGCCAGGATGTGTGTTGAGGAGGACGTACTCGACCTCCCCGACGTCGCCGTTGAACCCGATGTTCCTGCACCCGTACCCGAACGGGTCGGCTGGTCCGGCCCGCTTCTTCTCGTGGTCGGGCCTGGCGAAGAAGCCCAGGCTCTCCTGCGCCATGCGGGACACGGTGGCCGGGCCCACCCCGTGGTGGGTCACCTTGAAGAACCCGACCGTCTCCGCGGCCTTGACGATCTGCTGGGCCACGTCGGCCCGTGGGCCCGACAGGTCCACCGTGGGCAGCTTCGGGAGGAGGAGCTTCTTCTCGCCGGTGCGGGCGAGCGGCGGGGGGGACGCCACCACCATGGTTGTTAAATGGGTTTTTTTTTATTGATGGGGTGGTGGCCGGAGATTGTTTTTTTGTGCGACGGCGGCGGGAGGTTGGGAAAGAGGAGAAGAGAAAAGGAGAGGTGGGAGGAAGGGAAGGAAAATGAAGAGTTATGAGAGTGTATCGTACCGTTTAGCGAATTGGTTGTGTGGGTGTATGTATTTATAGAGGGGAACGACTCGTGTGAAAGAGAAATGGGAAAGGATGTTTTTTTTATTTATTTATTTAAGGAATAAAATAAAAATTTGGAGAAGTTAATTTATACATTTACAAAAAATATATGTTAAGGAAACTTCGTAATGGTTTTTGTTATTCAATTTGTGTTTCCCTTCTTTACTGAGCTGTTCTATGTTTCCTATTTATTTTCCATGCAATTTGCATTGATTTGTGCACTGAGTTCTGCATTGATTCTGTATGGTAACTCCCAATTAAGGGGTGGGCAATTATATGGTCCATATTGGACCGAATTGGATGTATTTTGATTGTATTTTTTATTCTACAGATATATGGAAAAAAAATTATAAATTATATATTTATATGTATGGGGGAAAAAATGGAGTGAAATTAAATTTGTACCGAATCGAGTCAAATCATATAAATCAAAACATGTTTTAGGTATGGTTCGGATCCTATGTTCTACTTTGTTTTTTTTTTTAATCTAGTCCCATCTCAATTCGAACTATTTCTAGACCGAATCAATCGACTCCCACCATTACTCCTAACACTAAGTGACATTCAGAGGACATTATTAGTTCAAGATGCTATCATGCTCTTCATCTGTTGTCATCCAAATTCTCAAAACTTCTGAATCGATTACAATACTCTTATGCAGAACGACTCCGTCACGAGAATTGTAATTGAACCGCCCTGATCGCGTCCAGCGAATTGGCCATATATACATCTACATTAATTAGTTTGTGCCTTGGAGGGACCCAATTAATGTACACATATACCTCCCTCACATCCTCTAATTATGAGGTGGTTTGTTTTCTTTCTAGCATTTTGTGGAGTGAGGGCTAAACATATGTTTAAACACACTCCTTAGATACCTAATCCATATTGTGGATGATGACATTGGTCGATATTTTCCCATTCCCGCAATTATCACTTGTTGTTGTACAGCGCGCCATTTGGAATCCAGAGAGAGAGGTGAGGCCCGGAGAGCGACAGGGCAGAGCTAAAGAGAGAATCTCTCTCTCTCTCTCGCCTTCCTCTCCCAGCTGAGTTGAAAGTACAGCGGATACAGCTTACAGCTAGCTAGTCAAATTACAGCGATGGAAAAAGGGAGAGAAAAATAAATATATATTACTTTGACATTGTGATTGACTGAGCACGAGACTCGAAAAGCAGAAGAAAAAAAAGGGAGATCGAGAAAGGAAGGAAAGGCTAAAAAGGAAACCGAGGTTTTCCCACCTCTCATATTTGACTTTCTTCACTTGGGGAGGACTAATCATCAGTAATTAGCGAGTACAACTTTGTGTTTAACTATGTAAAGTGAAATCAAAATGTTCCATGTTGGTCCTTATAACAAGTAATCAATCACAAGTTGTGTTTTGAAGTTTAATTGTACGGTGTTATGGATGTGGATTCGATTTGAAATGTTAGAGTGTATTTCAACTTATCAAAATCGTCGATTATTATTGTTTGACGAATTTATTCTCGAGATCTACGGTTCATAGAATAAGAAGTAAAGTTGAGTCGTTAAAGTATAGGGTGTAATGTCATTACTCTGAATTCTAGTCAATCTAATGCTCTATAGGGCATCGCGTGATCAAAGTATACTCCAAATTCTTAGGTCTACCAGGTAAGGAAGCATATTATGGGGGCAATACAAGAGTTTGTGACAATAACTTGACTAATTAGGACTAACTGATTCTTGATATATTATCAGGGTTGGGTTGATTGTGGGTTGTCGTGTTCGAGCCCTCAGAAGTCAGAACCTCGATATCAACGATTGATTCTAAACACATGGTATGATATTGTCAAGACCGTTTAGTCTCAATAACTCGAATTGTTGTGAGATATTCACTTAATTATGGATCTCACGCCATTTACAAACATGACCCGTGAAACGAAAGCCAACTTGTATGGACCTGAAGTTTGCAAAGTCCAAATACTTTGTGCTTAACAAATGGGGGTCGTTGAAATTCAAATACAAGAACTCTTGGTCATCATGACTCTGATACCATGCCAAGAACCGCCTGGTTGCAATAGCTCGACTTTGTTGGGGGGGGGGGGGGGGGGAGTTCAATTATGCATCTTAAACCATTTATGAAACTTTCATTCATGTGCAAATTTCAAAACTCACGAGGCAACTGAGAAGGCGTGTGAACAAGGATTGTAAATTTGTAATGTCATAAACCAACTTTAACCCAATAACCCGAACTGTTGGGAGAGGTTGATCGATAGTGAAATTTTGTATCACACACTAACACGCCCTCAAACGAAAGTCACTTACAAAGGTAGTTGAGATTCGTTTTTCATTTTGCTGGGGTGGCGGGGTGGGGTAGGGGTTGTAGAGAGAGAGAGAGAGAGAGAGAGAGAGAGAGAGAGAGAGAGAGAGAGAGAGAGAGAGAGAGAGAGAACAATTTTCAAGGCCAACGCGTATAGAAGCGTTCCATCGTGTCCCTTTCTACTTCCAATGACTTGGTCGGGAAGGTGGCTGTAGTAGTAGTAGTCTAATAGAGTGTCCATCGTCAACACTCCCAGCCAGTTGCCTTTCGCTTTTAATTCCACACCCTTTGACTCTTAACACTTAAGTCTGTCTAGCTCTCACTTGCAATTATTCCCCTCCCTCACAACCCCAAAGACCATAACTTCATGCTCCCTGCCTGCACATGTTTGCTTTGCTATTCCTTCTGGCCTCGTCATCGTCGACATCTTCACCGCCCTCTCCACCAATTTTCCCAATCGGAAGAAGTCCCATGTGGGAATTAATAGGAGTCTGGAGGTCATTTACAACGTTTTGTTTTCGGTGGCGGCTTGGCAAATTTCCCAATTGAAAATTGCCGGGGGTAAAAACGTGAAATTAAAGTTTGTGGATTGTTGGAAGTAAAAAAAAAGGCTACATGGAGATCAGGCCCAAGACACTTCGTTCCACCTTTAGGCCCAAATCAAAGGGTCCAACGTCCCAAACATGGTCACATAGATAATAATAATAATAATATGCATCTTTTCTCTAAACCCTCCTCTTGGAGAGGGGAGGAAGAACACAAGAACTAACGAATCTGGTGGGTTATAGATTATGATATTTGGTATTTGTTATTGTATTTGTAATAGTAATAGTAATGATGACAATAATAAAAAGGAGTATAAGTCTCAATTGAACAATCATTTAACCATTTAAACTAAAACCGGATATTGAACAATTATTCATTTTGAATGATTGTTCAATATCACATCAAGTAGAAAATATATGTATTGTTTATACATAAAAATAAAAAATGATGGATTGTAACGAATGCAAACATCAATCTCATTAAAAGGATCGGAAAAATCAGATGACCCCTAAATTTTGTGAAATTACATAAATGAAATCTCTTTTTGTGACGACACAATTCCGTGTCTCTTGCTATTGAAACTGTAGTGGTCCCTTGCAGGGGCAGACCCAGGGGTTTTAGAACTACAACTCATTTGTTGTTCGATTTTGAGCAATGTGTAATAGTAAAATGACATTCCTTATCTCTAATTATTTTTAAAACCTAACAATTAAATTAATTTCAAACTACCCTTAATTTGTATTGATTTTATGATTGTACGGCAGGTGTTGAAAGAGAGTTTCAACTTTGGGTTACATCAAGAACAAGTTTACAGATCGAATATGCGATAAGTTCGTGAATGATTGTCTAGTAGGGTATATAAAGACAAATATTTTTAACACTATACACACCAAGTGTATTCTAAAATTATTTTCGAATATGAAAACACATCATGGACTTTTTTAACCTGTAAGAGTAAGGTATTTTCATATTTATGATTTTATTTTTAATAATTATTTTTATTTAATTTATTTTTTAAAAGATGACACCCCTGTGAAAAATTTATGGGTCCGCTTCCTTCAATTCTCAAATCCAATATTTCGTACATTTTTCTGCAGGACGACGATAATTTAAAGTCAAGAATTAGTTCATTATAATAATTATATAAATTTTTTTGGGAGAGGCACAATGATAAATTTTGTATAATTTGTTCGCATCCACGCTCATACAAAGTTGTTCCGCTAGAAGAAAAAATGAAGGTTGTATTGACTTTTGGATCCTCCAACACTCTTGTATCAGGTTGAAACTGGTTCATCCAAGAACGAATCATTGAGATATTTTTTTCCCCACACATAATCATTGAGAAAAATTTCCCCGCAACCAACATGATGAAGATAAGCAAAACAATCAAATTAAATAAGGTTGTTGAATTGTGGATAATTAATTGTAACGTCAATTCATTGTATTAAGTAGATAAGGGCATATGATGATGATGATAACAATATTTAATGATGATATAATAACACAAACGTACGTTTGACTTTTTAGGGTTATCCTTTTGTTTCTTAAAACTACACGTACTCCTCCTATTGATAACTATGCAGGTAGCTAGCGTGACTTACCCTTCGTGCTATTCAAAGATCTCTCTATCTGCCAACCGAATTTTCCTATGTTTGTGAAGTTTGTGATAGCTAAGCAACACCAACCACCTCAATGCAATAGGAAGGAAAGGATTCGATTTGAAAGGAAATGGATAAACTATAAATTCCCTTCTTTGTGTTGTGGGTCGATCGATAATGACATTTTAATTTTAATTTTTTTTGGTTATAGATATTCAAAATGGAACAATACCATTACCATACAAAAAATTATAACATTTTCACTCTGAAAAAAATTATAATAAAAAAGACGGGATAAGGGTAATAATCAATTTGACAATAACTTCTCCCAAGATAAGCCCAAAAAGGTATGAGCGTCAGGGTTGTGCAATGGTCCGATCCAGTCTGGTTCATACTTAGGAGAGTTGTGGTTCACTTAAACATCTCAGAACCATGAACCGGACAAACAGTGCATTCGGTTCATTTTGGTATGGTCCAAATGTTAATTCACTCCATTTTGGTTCTGTATTTATAAAAAAAAAAATGTGG